TTTTACAAGTATTCAATCATCCTAAGCTATCAGCGGTCACGAGGAATGGATGTCCCCTCAGGGTAACCCCGTACCTTGATTAACCATTATCTTTTCCATATATCCGCATAAACTGTGCTTCTTACTCTGTACCCCTCTACCTCGAGTGGCCCCCGGGACTTTTACAGGGACAACCTCACTGTAAAAAAAAAAAAAAAAAAATCTCTTTGGTGACACAGTATAATATTTACCTCAAACCCTGCTTGTCTGTTATTTTCTTCTGTAGTTAACAAAAAAATAATTTAAAATTACTATCCTATATACTCGTGTACGAAGGCTGACTGAAAATTTCAATCCCCTTTTCACTTGTTCCACAAAGTGCTTCTAAAATCTAAGTAAAAGAGATTTCTATTGTAAAGCAATTGCACCAGTTATAATGATTTTCCAGCCGTAGCTTAGATGTGGCACAAAGCCGCAATCCTGGGGTACCCAGTGATGATCGAACGCATTCGTTATTGTTATGCGAGACAAGCTTGCTAACCATTACATCGCCTCGGGGTGTCCCAACTGCGCTATTTATATGGACGATGTTTTTACATAGATGTTAAAGTTGGTGAAAATCGGCAAAATACTGGCTTTGAATGTAAGCATATCCTCGGTTTTATCATTGACTTTTGGTTACATATTTCCTGCCTTTTACGACGTTCGGTTGGGGCATCTCGATACTGTGTAAGCTTATCTCGCTACAACAATTGATCGATCCTCACTGGGTGCCCCATACCTCGTGCCACATTTAAGTTACGCTTGGTAAAACATTAGAGGAGGTTCGGCTGGAAAGTTCATAGGCTGACCAAGAGTCAACCGATGAAATTTTCAGTCGATCCTCAGAGACGAATGTATAAGGCAGTTGTTTTAAATTAATCCTTTTCCTTTCAGATTCGAATGAAATAGAAGGATATACGGACCTCTCTAACTTTGAGTGGCAGTCAGTTTAGGATAATATGGCTCTGAATTCAAAACAGTGTAGAATCAACAGAAAAACACTCAAGAAGTCATGATAAATTGCAGATAACAGATAAAAAGAATACTTGAAGAGCCAGAATCATGAACGAACTGAAGAGAAACGACATTAAAAAAAGTCGTTATCGAAAAAGAAAAGAAAAAGAAAAAAGAAAACTAGCTTTGAATCCATAATTATATTTCAGGCTTTAAACAAAACAGAGACTTACAAAAAATATTATTTGATTGACAGCTTTGAAAGTCTCATGTTCCTTATTTATAACGCATGGCTTTCGTTCGTTCCCCTAACCGCCGCTGGCTACTTCACCTCTCTCTGTCGGGGGCTGATCCGCAACTGTGGTATTCTCAGCAACGGACTGTCGTCACTCAGCGGCCGCCGTATGATGCTCGGGACATTCATCCTGTGAAAATGAAGAAAATCGCCAGCTGCACCCGGTCAATTCATTTGCTTTTCGCTACCTGCATCAAATTGCAATATTATTTGTCTTTGTTTCTTTATATTATGCACACTGGATATAGCAAAACGATAGACGTCAGATTTTTTTCCACATCATAACACCTTATTCGAAAATTGGAAAAATACAATAAGAATTAAACACCTTGGTTTCAATCAAAAGCGTTCCCTTCACGCATGTAGTACAGATGCATGCTGTCATTTTGTTTCTAGCCAATAGGATAGATCAGACCACGACAATTAATCGTCTGTATGGTGTGTTTATGCCATTCGTACATTGTGAACTTTTTTATTTTATTACTGTTGCATTGCCAACTTTTGTCTTCTATCTATCTATCTATCTATCTATCTATCTATCTATCTATCTATCTATCTATCTATCGCCCTCTGTTTCTCTCTCGATATATATATATATATATATATATATATAATGTTTGTTTAGTATTATTTTTGCAGTGTTCTTTTCTTTCTTTTCTTCTTATTTATTGGAAAATTTGTAAATTCGGTTTATTGGGTATTTCTGCCAATTACATTTAACCATAGCCAATTACAAGAAAAAAAATTTTGGTTGAATTTAATAACGAGCTTGCTGCATAAATATGGCATATATATATATATATATATATATATATAAAGAGAGAGAGAGAGAGAGATATGTGTGTGCGCGGGCGCGCGCGCGCGTGTGTGTGTGTGTGTAACGAATGCACGGCCGCAATTTTCGATGGATTTGCAGCAAAATTTACATGCACATGATCAAAGTTTAGCGGGAAGACCAAGATCAACTTTGCATTTCCCAACTCTCATCGATAGTGGAAATAATCGATTTTTTTCATGCTTCTACGTCAGTTTTCATGTAGTTTGCGGCCATTTTCTACTGATCACAGTGAGAGCCAATAGCTGGCTGACACGAATAGGCAGGAAGATTCTAATGGCCAGCGTGAGAGCCAACAGCTGACTGACACGAATGTTAACTAGCATGCTAGCATGCAAAAAAAAAAAAAATCGATAGCTGCATTCGTCACAAGTGGGAAAAATTTAAATCTGCATGGCACTTTACTCCAATTGGCTCATTCGCTTACTTAAACTCAACGTTGATTCTGATTCCGTAGAACTGGGTTGGGTGTGAAAAAGTATTTGTTGTTAACATTCTTTTTTCATTCGGTTTTTCCAGTTACGAAGTTTCCTGCAAAAAAAAGACTAAAAATAATGGAAGCTTTAATAATAAAAAAGAAAAAGCCAACTCTTAACAATATTAACTACAAACAAAGCCACAATGTGCTAACCGTATTCGGAAATTAAAAACATCCCTACCACACACTAAGACATACACAGAACGTACACGCTCGATTAAGCTGAAAAATCTTTGTCCAGAAAAGAAAGTTCTTGTTAGAACACAAAAAAAATTAAATAAAAAGCTTAACCGTAATACCTTATCTGTTGTTTTTAATGAAACATGCATATATATATATATATATATAGCAATAATAATAAGTTAAAATAATATTTTTTACTTTGCTATTTTGAACATCATTTTTCTGACATTTAATGAAATCGCATCCACTCTTTATGAGTTGTGATATGAAACTCCTGAAAATGGATGATTTTCATTAAACCAATATATATATATATATATATATATATATATATATATATATATATATATATATATATATACAGATGAGTAAAATAAATTTGCATGATTAGTTGTTGAATATCTTCCCTCCGAGTTTCATGAAATGGCATCCACTCTTCAGGAGTTCGCTATCACATATCCTGAAGTGTGCATATATATATATATATATATATATATATATATATATATATAATTTTACGAATGAGTAAAATAAAATTGCATGCTTGGCCGTGGAATATCTGCGTATATATATATATATATATATATATATATATATATATATATATGCATATATAATTACATTGGTGCTAAATCTCGAAAACGTTTTTTTTTTTGGCTGTATGAAACGCTGTAGTTGACAAATTTAGAAAAAAGGAAAGAATCCATTGAGGTTTTTGTTCGACTACACCCATTCTCCCCCACAAACTCCACTGTCAACTAGTTTATTTCTTTCGTCTGGGGTCAACATATAACTAGAAATTGTCTACCGTCCCGTCCCTGGTCAGATGCACACCGATCCGTCATATTCATGCACACAACTGAGGTAATTTCTCACTCAATTGCTGCCGACTTTAAATTAATGGGGACCCGTAAAGTCGTTGGCCGCATGTAAGTTAGGTGGAAAGAATTTGGACGGAAGCAGGGAAAAAAGAGCTGAAGTTATACAAGTCGGGGTAAGAGCGTAATCGCTGCAGCAACGGTAAGGACGACAGGGAGAGGCCACATTTTTGTGCATTTTGGGTTTTGCAAAGAGGAACCCTTTATAATAATTTCGTTCCAGCTTCGTTTCAAATTACATTACATGTTTTATTTATGTTTATATATTTTGCCCTCACTTTTGTTTGTTTTTGGCTTTCATTTTTTATATCCTTTTTGATGGTAAAAGCCTACTTGTCATTATGTCTCTAATTTTTTATTTCTCGCTCAGCTTTCTTGCCCAGTCAACTTTCGTTTAATTTTACCTTCATTTTTGTTGCTGTTCTTGTTGTTCTTGTTCTTGTTTCCCAGCCATTTTATCTTGTTTCTTTCTCTGGGTCATACAGGTATGAGAAGTACCTCTTGGATTTGAACGCCTCTGATTTGCATAATTCTATGTCTTTGACCAACCATAACAAGAAAAGGTAAGTAAACGAAAGGGGAAAGAAAGGACTAAACATCAATTGTAAGAAAGACAGAACACATAGCCATCTACGAAAGAGATGGCCAGAGATGCAAAATACAACTTGAAGGTGGGTAAAAAAAATCAAGCAAATGCAGAAATTATTGACTTGGTAACGTTTTAACAAACGATGAAAAATGTAGCAGCGAAATCCGAAGTAGGATTAGAAGTTCGAAAGGTGCCTACAAAAAGCTAAGCAAAATAATACGAAACAGGAAAATTTCAATAGCAGCAAAGCGTTCTCAAATTCTACGTGATACCAAGACTCCTATATGAGAGTAACGGCTAAACAGTTTTCTTGTGGATATAGAGAGGCTAAGAAATATGGTTGTACAGAAGAATTCTGAGAATACCTTGTACGAAACATATGGGCAACGACGAAGTAAATTTTTAAGGGAAAATGGAAACAAAAAAGGACATTTATACTAAGAATTAGAAACAGTGAATTAGACGTGCCGAGTTCAGTTCCCGCTCGATTCTCTTTCCTACACTTCGCACTAATACCCTTGGGAAAGGCATGAATTCATCTTCTTCCAGCTGTCGATAAAATAGCAGGATAGACTGGGATCTCTTGCCTTGAGACGGCAACTAGTTTAGAAGAAAGAAAACTCTGAATTCAAAACCAGCACAGAGTGTCGGGCTCCATCAGGCTATCTTGCCCTAGATATACCACTGCTGCTATGACTGCAGTAAACGTGCTGTCTCTACGATCCTAATGGGTTACGACACACCCACACATACTCGTATAAAGGCTTAGGGTCACACCTGTTCCCGTGCGATCACCGAAGTTAAATAACGTTGACCCTGGTCAATATCTAGATGGGTGACCTCTGGTGAATACTAGCTGCTGTAAGCTTGTATTTGCGGGTAGTGTAATTGATAATGGGTCGGAATTGCTAATCCCAGAGCTGAGTTCCAATTCGCGTTGGGTTCGTTATATTCACTTACGCACACATAGTCTTGAGAAAGGTAAGAATCCACTGTCTTCAGTCCCACCTATGGGTTAATTAGTAAGAATTGTCTCACTAAACAGTTATTATTCTCCAAACAAAATCTTACAATCTAGAAGTATTTTCTGGCAATTTTCTGGCCTAACATGCCAAAGGTTGATAAGCCGTAGAAAATTAATCAATCAATCAATCTACCTACTTGATTTTGACGTTCTCAGTATTTAGCTCATGCCGTGGGGGGGGGTGCCTCTTTTGCTGACAACTATGCGTTCTATCTTATTACAGCTGAAACTTAATATTGTCTTGTCGTTTTATTATTGATATATGTTTGTACACTTGTTCAACCAATGCAGGCTTCCCAGACTAAAGTTAACGGCCAAGGCGAAGGTTTTCCCTCAATGGAATCAGCGGCCATCTGTCCGTTACCAAGGCGAAGCTTCAAGGTGGAGGAAATTGGCTGGGTGAGGCCTGACCTGGAGAGGGATGCGCTCCCCCTGGTCATGCCTCTCTGACTTTCAATCCAGGCAGGTGGAATGAAATTTCCATGTGTTCAGTTGCTCGGTCATGGAACTGATGATGATGATGATGATGATGATGATGATGATGATGATGATGATGATAGCGATGATGATGATGATGATGATGATATAAACTTCAAAACGAGAACATAAGCGAAAGGAGTTATTTACTGTGCGAGAATCTTTGAATGTAATCGAAATTGTTCAATTAAAATGTCATATAAATATGGCAACGTCATCAAAGCTAAGCCCGATTAAATCTTAACGGACGAGACGCGTCACCCCAAAATTTTCCAGTTTGTCGTATTTTTCGAAATACTGTTTGTTGATATATAAAATTATGTATCGTTATACCATATATATATATATTTATTTATTTATATATATATTATGTTTATAAAATATAACATTAATAATAAGAAATAATGGCGAATTATAAATAAATCCGTTAATCACTTTGATATAATTAACATTATCAATATAACATGACAAAGACGATAATAATTGATAATGTTAATTATATTTTATGAATATGTCCTGAAGATGGTTTATTAGACGATATGACGATAAATTACATCCGACTGTAAGGCCTCTGATCAGGATGTTTTGAGAAGCGTGAAAGCACCTCTTAATTGCTGGTGTTCCCAGGTCCACCCTGACCCAGGTGGTAGCACCTGTGAGTATCCCAATTCTGGCCAAATAGTTCGCCCCTCAAAAGGGGTCAAAACACTATGAATGTATAAAAATGGGTTTTAATACCAGCAATACTTTTTTTGAAAAAATATTATCAGCAGTACATCTTTGAAAAAAAAATATTACCAGAAATACATTTTTGGAAAAAAAAAAAATTACCAACAATACATTTTTTGAAAAAAATATTACCAGCAATAAAAAATCTTGTCTGTATTAAATAACCCACTGAGGTTGATATGTCGTAAAACAAACCAAACCAAAGCACCTGCCTCAATTGAAGGCCAGAGAGATAACCAAGTGGAACTCATCTCTCTCTCTCTCTCTCTCACACACACACACACACACACACACACACATATATATATATATATATATATATATATATATATATATATATATAAACATTTTAATTGAACAATTTCATTTTCAGCCAAAGATTCTCACACATTAAATAACTCCTTGCTCTTATGTTTTCGTTTTGAAATATATATATATATATATATATATATATATATATATATATATACAGTGGGGGGGGGAATAAATATTCGAACAATTGAAAAATTGTATTTTTATAAATGTAAAAGCTTTAAATAAAACAAATCTTGTCACATTTTATGTATAAAGACACATACTATTAAATAATAATAATAAACTTAATTAATTCTTATTCTAACAGAAATTAATGCATTTTTTAAATTCTAACTGGTGAAAAAAGTATTCGTACAAATCAATTATTAGAATAAAATAATAAATTAATTATGAAAAAAGTATATTCTAGAATGTTCCAGTAATGCTATCAGTAATTATAGTTAACGCTATTAGCCATTATATTATTAGAGCATTCTGCAATTTCTAATCTTACGAGAAGGTTCTAATAATGCCTAAAGGTAAAGAATTGACTATTTCACAAAAACAACACATTTTGTCTCTTTGGAAAGATGGGAACAGTTACAGAATAATTTCTAACAACCTGAATATTCCTTTTACTACATTTGCTTCGTTCATTGCAAGGTTTAAAACTCGTAACAGCGTCGAAAACCAAAGACGAACAGGTGCTCCGAGGAAGATTTCTCTAAGATCAGCAAGGATATTAGTACGTCAGATCCAGCAATATCCACAGGTTACCGAGGAGAGCTGCAGGAACATCTGCGTGCATTAGAGATTAAAGTAACCAAGCGTACAATAAGTAATGAACTACACGAAAACAGTCTGAAATCACGCATCCCAAGGAAGACTCCACTCCTCTTGAAACGACACAGAGTTGCTAGGCTAAAATTCGTTAGAAAGCATAAGGATGAAGAATACTCGTTTTGGGAAAAAGTACTATGGACAAATGAAACTAAAATAGAGTTGTTTGGTCATAATTATCGAAATCATGTGTGGAGGAAGGACGGTGAAGCCTACTTACCAAAGAACACATTGCCAACTGTAAAGTTTGGTGGTGGCAGTATCATGATCTGGGGCTGTTTTTTCTGCAAAAGGAGTTGGCAGAATATCAATAATAGATGGCAAGATGAATGCCGAAAATATCAGAAAATCCTGCAAGACAATTTAATGCGTTCTGTTGAGAGACTTTGGCTACCTCCTGATTGGGTTTTCCAGCTGGATAATGATCCTAAGCATAACGCTAGATCTACAAGGAAATGGTTAGCTGAAAGTAATGTTGATGTCTTGCAATGGCTAAGTCAGTTCCCAGACTTGAACCCAATCGAGAATTTATGGCGATATTCAAAAATTCAAATTGGGAAAAGAGCACCAACAAATATCAAGAATTTCAAGACAATATGCCAAGAAGAATGGGACAAAATACAAAAAAGGATATTCCACAAAGTATTAAATTAAGTTAATATGCTTTTTTTGTTTTGTACGAATACATTTTCATCAGTGAAAATAAAAAAAATGAGTTAATTTCTGTTAGAATAAGAATTAATTAAGTTTATTACTATTTTTTAATAAAATGTATCTTTACACATAAAATGTATCAAAATTGTTTTTAGTTAAGGCTTTTACATTTATAAAAATACAATTTTTCATATGTACGAATATTTATTTCCCCCACTATATATATATATATATATATATATATGATGAAAATGTATTCGTACAAAACAAAAAAAAAAACTTAATATATATATATATATATATATATATATATATATATATATATATATATATATATATATATATTATTTGTTATTACTATAAAGGTCATATTTAATTGATATCCTTGTCGAGTAAACATTCCAGTTTTTCAATAATTTAATTCTTGTTTACCACTCAGGGAATTCGAGAGTCATATTAAAAGGATATCCTTGCGTAGGGATCGAACCAGGTGTGCTTTAGACCGTTCAATGATGCAGTACTTCACCGCATATCGATGATCAATTACCCTTTTTAATAAATGTACATCTTATGTTGGGATCATTCGAACCGCATATCTGCTAAGATTTTTCGCTTCAGGAAAAAAGACAAATTAATCAAATGAATTAACAAAGGGATTAACGGATTTTATTTATAATTCGCCATTATTTCTTCTTATTATTAAAACGTTATATTTTTATATAAAAACGTACTGGATTTTTCTTTTCGAATAAGCGTAATTCAGTTCAAATTCAAATTGCCGTTTTCTTTTTAAATTAGATTAAAAATTGATTATTTGATATTAAAAAGCAAAGTATAGATCGTAAAATCTAATGATTTAACTTGGATTTTTGTATTTAAATTTCCGCACCCAGAAATGAACTTGTATTCCCTACACCCACAACAATTAATCAGTCTAAATCGTTGACCCGGATAAACGCCTACATTTTCGCCTACGTTTCGACTTGGGTTATGCATCTTTTTTTTTCTTTTCTTTCTTTTTTTCCTTTCTTTTTCTTTATCTGTCATTATTATTATTATTATTATTATTATTATTATTATTATTATTATTATTATTATTTTAATATTTTGATAAAAAAAAACTTTTTCTCGGTTTTAATAATAAAGGAAATTCAAATTATTTTGTCAGTTTTTCAAACTTCTCTTCTTTTATGCACATAAGATTTACGTTTTACCAGATTTCAACGGTAAGCAACGAGAAATACATTTTTGATTTGTGCCGAAATGTAATAATTGCGGTTATCGAAGCAATTGACTCTGGGATTCGAACCAACGATCCAACCAGTTATCTCCAGAGAATGAGAGAGAAAAGAGAAATATAGAGAGTGGGGGAAGTAAGAGAAATAAAATTTAGATGCCACATTAAAGTAAGTCATATCTATCTATCTATCTATCTATCTATCTATCTATCTATCTATCTCTATCACTATCACACACACACACACACACACACACACACTCTCTCCCTTCCTCTCTCTCTCTCTCTCCCTTTCTGTTTTTATCGTGCGGAAATTGGGTCTCTTGTTATCCTGTTACTTTCGTATTTTAGTTGCTGCACAAAATCTGATTGTTCCGCTATATGTAAAACCTGAGGAAAAGCAGCAAGAAAATAGGAATGCATTTTTGTTAGCAAGGCCTGTCCCAGGCACAAGATGCAAATTACAAATTGGAGAAATCAAATCAAACAATTACAACAATTTAAATATCTGGGAAGTGTTTTAACAGAGGACGGAAAGTGCGCCATTGAAATCCAAAGGTGCATTGGGATAGGGAAAGATGCCTTCCAAAAGATAAGCAAAGTACTGAGAA